ACACGTCGAAAAGTCACGAAGGTTGGGCTCGTTCGTTCTTACTAATTTCTTTAATAATATTTCCCATGAAATAATATCAGATAAAAAAAAAAAAAAAAGAAAAAGAGAGAGAGAGATAGAGAGAAAGAGGAAAAAATATGATAATAAAAATAAGAGATAAAAAAAGATTATAAAATATCATTCTTGAAATCTTTCTAAAAATATAACTTTATTACTCTTATTAAACGAAAGAAAAAAAAGAAATGGGGAAACATTTGATCTTGTGTAATTCATGGATCATTGCATAAATCTTGACTATAAAGATAATTAAAATGATTAATAGATAATTCGAATTCTTGGAAAGAATATTTATTGGCAGGTGTACTTTACAGTGACTTTTTTTTTTATTGAACTTCTATAAAAATGTTCACTTGATTAAAATTCTACTTCTCTCTTCTTTTTCTTTCCCTCCACCCATCCATCCGTCCCTTTCATCATATAAATTTACATAATCTAATTTATGCAAATGATTTTCAATGATTTTCTTGATTTAAATATTTTAAATTATTCTACAATATCTCGTGTGATTTTGATGAAGATTATTTTCAATCAAGGACCCTTTTATTTGTTCATTATCCATTATACTTACTTGGCCTACCAGAACGTGATTCATCATTAACAAAACTATTCGAACAAAAATTGTTAAGTGCAATCATTCATAAAATCTTCTTCACCGTATACTTCAAATATCTTTTTTCAAATTTACACATCGTTTTTATCATTACAATGATGATAATAATAATAATATAATATTATAGTGAAAATATACCCATCCTTTTTCATCTTTCATTTTTAACAATTTATTTATTAATTTTGATATTTTAATTTTTTTTTTTCTTTTTTATAAAACTCAATATCTATGCTTTTAAATTATGTATTCATTTGATAAAACAAAAGAAAGTATATATACTTAACGCGACGTTAATGTCATCTATTGACAAAAATGAGAAAACTTCTTCTTAATAAAGCTAATCTTCCTTCTTTACATTCTTCATTCTAAGTATAAAAATATAATTTCAAAGATCTATATCGATTGCACAAAATAGTTACCAATGGTCAGAGATTTCCTGCAGATAAAACGATTTCCTTTCGCGTTTCATTGTTATTAAAACTGTTATCGGACATACAACTCGAAGGTTTACAATAAAAATAATTTAGGATCCAAAATCGAGGACAAAAAAAATTTTATTCTAATCCTAATAATTCTAATGTAATAAATTATAATTTATAAAAAGAAGTCAAATAGTAACGAATAGTAACGAATTTCTAAACATTTAATTTGTTATATCATAATATTTTATAACTTTATAAAATAAATAAATATATATATATATCATGATTTAAAAAAAACTTGTTCTTAATCATATTTTTTAAATAAATTCTAATAAAATCGAAATTTTTTTAAAAATGATAAAATTTTCTTAATAAAAAAAAAAAGAAAGAGAAAAAAGAAATTAATAATCCTCACATATGTCGTTAAGATATATCACAATCTGTTTGACCGACTGTACGATGTTATTAATTAGTTTCGTTCTGGAAAATAATGGAGAATGTACATAAGTACTTTCGAAAATCATAAAAAATAACTGCGGCCAACGACTTCAAATGTTATCTTCTCTTTGATACTACGCATATTGCATTTTGTATCGTTCAATGTATTTATGGGTATAGTTAACTATGTGATCGATCGATCGTATCTGACTTACACAATGAAAAATTTCCTCGTAATCTAAGAAGAATAAAAAATTAATTTTAATCCGAGATTCTTGACTTATTCAATTTCTCATGGAGCATGATTAATAGTAATGAATTATTCGTTATCTCTGTATTATAGCTGTATTTGTTTTTTTCCGCTTAAATAAATGCATATATATATATATATATATATGTACGTAAATATAATAATAATAATAATAATAATAATAATAATAAAAAAAGAGATAAAATCGATTTTATATCAAAAAATATTTTCAACACTAAGATCAATCAAAAGTAACATACATTATGCAATCATATACATTATATATGCACATATCTATAATATCAATTAAGCATAAATTCTCTATGTTATTAGCCCAACTATCATTTATATACAATATGATATATTCTTAAGAGGAAAAAGTATCTGACCAAAATGATTGGAAAACAATGAATATGTTTATCTCGTTAATGTCTTTTTGTAGGAAAAAGGAAAAGAAAAAGAAAAAAAAAAGGAAAAAGAAGGAAAGAAAGAAGAAACTTATCTCGAGAACGATAAATATGATGTTCGACGTGTCGTGATTTATACAAATTACGAATCAGTTCTTCCGATTATGTTGTCGACTAACTATACATGTTCGTACTTACCTTGTTATCACGAAAGTTACAAAACAACCTTGAATATCGATGTTATTAATAATTGGCACGTGAAATGATCGTTTTTGATAAGTCGTAATTTTTTTTCGAAAAATATGTCAACGAATAAAAAATAAAAACACGAATAGTGCCGGATCGTAGAAATTCGATTAAACGACGATAACCTTTCTGTTAACATTAACTCGACGCGCCCACCGGTCGGTTGCGACTGAGCTACTAAAACATCACGCGCATACAAAAGATAGATAGAGAGAGAGAGAGAGAGAAATGGAAAACTCGCTGGTACGCAGTATGCTTGGTAAACCACATTAAATACACAGTTACTTTATCCGAGAATTAGCTAGCAGCGCGTATACGTCATGAATTGTTACTAATCCGAATTTTTTACCTTCCCTCTTTATTATCACATTCTCGACAGAGAGAGAAGAATCAATATTATGAGATTTGACAATATTTCTGGGAAGTCCTCGACACCTTAATTGATCTCGCTTGAAGAGACACATATGAAATTTGTGAAAGATTACGTTAATACATCATTGCGCGCGTAAAATAGTTCCTCGAACAAATGACTGATTGAAACCGACGGAAGTTGCCGATTATACACGAAGATATTACGCATGCGCGACACGTACCCTCATCTTCGGCTTTTCCCGTGTTTCCCGAGTTCTATTTTGAATTATTCTTACGTTACTTATCTTGGCGCGAATCTTTGTTTCACGACTATTTCTTTTTTTTTATCTTTCTTTTTTTTTTTCTTTTCTTATAAATAAATATTAAATCATCTTGGAAAATCGTATTTGATAAATCATCATTATGACCTGAATGTATTATCGTTAGGAATTATGGAAGAAAAAAGATCCATTGGGAAATATGTGATATCTGAACGTGCACTAACGAAACTTGAAACAATTAAAGATGCGTTGAAAGAAGACATTTGTAATGCTGATAATAGATGGAAAGTGATAGGAAATAAGGTTAGGATATCTAAATTTTTCTCTTTGAAAATGACAATCATTAAATTTATTTATTCACAATTAAATAGAAAGCAGAAAATGTAGATACAGATACAGACACAGAGGAAACTAATGCAATGGATGTTGAGGAATCAACGGATGCTATGAATACTACACAAATACCCTCAACTCAATTTTATTTTAGTCAGGCTGGGACAAATAATATTAAGGATATTGAAGATGGAAAAGATATTGCTTTGCAAATATGCGACATTATTGAAGTTTTGTATGAGGGATTAGAGCGTAATAATGGAAAGCTAGATTTTGTTCATTTAGAAAATCTATCAAATAATGATCTCGTAAAAGTTTTCACAGATTTAGGTGAAAAATTAAGTATTAAAGGTATTTACAATTTATGTTTGTCGACTAAAGATATTAATGCAGAAGAAGGAATTAAATATATGGGTCTTGTATGTACTCATGTTCTGTTGCCAAAGGTATTGGATGCTATTTATTATTCCCTGTTAAAAATAAATTCTGTAACTTATATTTTTATTCAGATAATTAAACTAGAAGAATCGTCAAGATTAATAACATCTGGAATAGGAGAATGCGTTGAAAAATTTCCAGATGAAGTTTTAAAATTTATTTTCATACCTGTTCTAAATATTGATTTAAAAGATGCATCAATTATGAATGTTATCGTCAGTACTTTCCAACCTGAAAAAAGATCTGTTCTTATATCGTAAGTATATAAGATTATTCCTTTTATAATTTGATTTAGTTTATACTATATATTACAACTTAAAATATTATTTTTATTTGTTTAGAGAATATGTGGAAAATGCAAAGGAATTAAAAGAATGGCATATATCTATTTTAGAAATTTTGTTATCTGTAAAAATAGATTCAAACATATATGATAAATTAATAAGATTATTATTGGGAAAAGCAGTTTTCTTTTCTACAAATATCAAATTTAGCAAATTGCTTTTGTCTTTTTTAAAAGCAAATCGAATTACATCAGAGGAACAGAAAGATTTACTGCAGGAAATAATCGAAGTCAATGAAACTTTGTTTAAAAGACCTATAGAAAATATTTTGAAAAAGATGTAATTAAGTTATAATCTGTAAGATAATTTTTGTATTTTATAAAATTTATTATAAAAACCGTATTGTTACTTTTATATTGTGATAATCGTATATCTATATATATGTACTTTATTATCGAGTAGCATTATATATATATATATGTATACACACGATGCACACACACATATATATAGTAATGCTTTGCTGTGGTTGATGATATAGTGCAAGCATGGCTGAAGAATTGTCGGGTGTAACTATAGTAATATTTATAGCAGCTGGAGTTTTAACAATTCTGTTATTATTCATTTTTGCTAAACGACAGATAATGAGATTTGCTTTGCGTTCACGACGCGGACCACATATTCCTATTGGGCACGATACTAAAAAGGTATGCGTATTTTTAAGGTTAGAAATTTGTATTTATCTAATAAAATATAATTTGCATAAATTAATTATGTAAATAAAATTAAAATAATATGTATTATAGTCACTGAAGAGAGAAATCGAAAGGCGTATAGAAGTAATACCAAGAATTCAATATGAACCACAACTTATAAGTGACTCCAGATATATCTTAACTCCTGGCAGTCAAATTCCACCACATTATTATAGATTGAAAGCCGTAGATGATATTAAAACTTTAGGTATGTATATTTAGTAATTAAAAATATTAATACAAATTTCATTATATGTTTTTATCAATACAGAAGCTGAAATTACAAAGTATGACAGTTGCTTAAAAAGGCATCCATCTGAAAACTTAAGAGCATATTTATTATCGACCCTTGCAACACCGTTAAATGGAAGTGGTCAACGTTTGATTCATCAATTTTGTGATTTGTATGAACATGCAAAACATGATCCAACAGAATTTGGTGATGAAGAATATCAAGTATATACACGTTTATTTCTTAAATTAATGGATGCGTAAGTACATCATTAAATTATTGAATAAAGCAAAAATTGATGATCAGTACTTTGTTATAATTCTATAATATTGATTATTAATGGTTTTTAGAGCTCGTCTCTTGAAGTCTTATCCAAGTAGTAAAAAATCCAGTCCAAGCCGTACACCTATAAAGAAGAATATAGAAACTAAAAGGAATATATTGGAACCACGAATGCGTTTGCCTGAAGATCAGGTATTAACAGGGTCAAGACCAAGCACCTTAACAGTAATGGCACTAGATAATAGTGAAACATCTGTTTAGCATTATGAGAATCGTCACATACAACATATGTGACGAGTGAAATGTGTATATATATATGTATATATAACATATCTGATTTAATTTTTTTTTTATTTGCGTTTACCTATACATTCATACAAAAATATATATGTAATATTTATAACTTCTTACTAAAAGATATGGATGTTATCGCAGTACAGTAAATGCTATATCTACAAATGTAGAATAGATAACTCTAATTTTTATATACAATATTGCTCTTTTTTATATTTATCAAAAATGTAATATTTATCATATAGGATCTAATATCGTTTAATCAATTCAAAACTCAAAAACTAAATTAATTGTATTATTATATATTTATACATTGTACATTTATATTTATATATATTCCTAAGTCGTCTATACTGATAAATAAGTAAACCAATTCTTATTATAATGCGGATGATGTTTTAAGGAAATTAATGAATTATGAAATGCAGATTTATACAGTTCTGGTATGGAACTTATTCTCATTAGATGTAACCACTCCATTACCTGAGAAATTGTTATTGAAAATTACTGTTAATATAGTATCAATTAGAAATTATTCGTATGTACAATTATATGCATGCTATAATAGAGAATATCTACTTTTTAAAGATTACCTGAGGGATTATATGATCCTTCCAATATTGTATATCAGCAAGCATAGCTATGGCTTGTGGGAATAATCTTATTCTGACATGTTGCGAAGATACAATAGAATCTGCATCCATTATTATGCAATCCATTCCAGATAAACAAATAATAGAAACGAAAAAAATATCACAGTAAAATAAAATTCGTCGGTCATCTTCAGATATTTCTGGTATAAGTGCTTGAATACGATTTATAAAATCTATAACCCAATCTGATGTATACATTTTAGATTTCACTTCAGTTTGCACTCTTTGAACTGCTTGTAACAAATATAACTGTACACTGTAAAAATATAAGATTTCTTTTCTTTATACAATATTATTAAGATTGTAACATTATTCATAATTATCACTCATTATATTATTTTTTTTCTTACCTGGGTATAGTTGCGATTAAATTAATTAATTCATTCATCCAATTCAAAGGCATTTCAAAATCGTTATTTAAAGCTAATTCTGCTCTGATAATTATAGCATTTTTCAGTTTTTTTACGGTTGTTTCCCACCATACGTTAGGCGATGTCATTCTCTCTATGTGATCAACGATAATGCTAATACTGCAGAAATATATGGTTTAAAATAATCTTGTGTTAAGTCTATTTCATCTAAAAGATTGTTTAAAGTAGTAGAGAGTAATGTACGAATAGCATCATTTATTGTTTCATTTTTTAAAGCTCTAGCATAGGAATGCATAATATCCCTAAATAAAATTACATTTTTGTCGTCATCACTTAATAAATTTTTTATAACATGTGATAATGTCGTATCTAAAAATGGTTTTATTTTATGTGCTTGTACAGCTTCACAGAGAATTTCTAAATTTGCATACAATATTTCATGTTCTTTACTTTGTAATAAATCTTTTATATTTGTATCCTTTTCAAACATTGATAAATAATGCTCAACAAAGCTTCTTGCAGACAATGATATAACTGAATGATGACATGCAATAGTAAGACTATATTCTTTAGCTTTATAGGATATTTCAGTAGTCTTATGTAAAAAATTCCAATTTATATTAGGCAAAGGTTTTGGATATTTAAATGCAAATATCCGTAAACATTCTATAGCGACGCGTTCGTTGAAAGATTTAGTCCTATCTATACGTCTCAAATGTTCACCGACTACTCTTATAATACTTCTTTCTGGTAAGTATTTGAAATTATTTGGCTCTCCATGTGGCCAATTATATATGCCAGATCGAAAACTTTTAACTTCATTTGTAATAAATGAAATTAAAACATCACCAGCTGCATTTAAAATCATTTTATTGACTTTTTCTAACATTTTGATCCAGCATGTGCTTGATACAGCTGGTATACACTGTGATATATTTTCTGGCGTTGTATTACTTGAAGCTGATGTACTTGATTGTAATGTTGTAGTATCGTATTTAAAATCATCTGGTAAAGTTTGTAATGGAATATCTTCTAATCGATACAAAGCTATTGCTTTAAGTGCAGCCTCACTTATCTCTGGATCATTTTGTATAACATATGACCATAATATTTTTAATATTTCGGTAATCAAGGTATCATATGCGCTGTTGTTCCTATTTAAATAAGATGGAATATTTCCAAAGAGTTCACATAAAGTTTTCATAACAATTGTACGCTTTTCTTTCTTCATTTTTGGCGCTAAGACTTTCCAAACTGAGACAATACTAATAACAGAAGAACTACAAAGAGCAGAAATACCCTTAAGTGCAAGTGCTGTTGCAGCACTGCCATTTGTGTCTACACATTTATTTAATATTTGTGAAATAAATGGAGCAAGTTCTTCAGCACATTTCGGGCGTTCTTCGCAAATGTGCTTGATTACTTTAGCACAAGTTACATCAGCGTACCACGATTTGTCATTTTGTGATGTTTCCATAAGTGCAGATGAAAGATACTGATAGCAACGTGGATCTTTATCGTTCATCGTCAAATATAGTTCGAGAGCGAAATATTTTAATGGCCCTTCACTGTGAAATAATGTTTGCAATGTTCTATTTATAACTGGTATATTTTCTTTTGTTATTGCTAATTCGGGTAATGTAAGAAGCAAGTATTTCGATTCATCGGGATCACGAGATTTTGATAACTTATGCATAATTAGTGGTAACATGTGAGATGCAAAAACGATTATTTCTTTAGTAATTTGCATAAGTATATCACAAATGTCTTTTGTTACAATGACATTTTTACTTTGTAAAAATAGACCAGAAAGAATTAATCTATATTTATAACGTAAATCAATTGGACTTTTTGATAATGCTTTCAACCATGATAAAATATTCGTTTCTGTTATTGTATTTAAAAAATCGATGCTTTCTGTGTAAAATTGAATATACGCATCAAAATGAATTAATTTTGTAAATATTCCTTCTGGATGAGGATTGGTGGCTTCTTTTGTCCATTTTGTTTCGGTAACAGCTTTGTTTATTAAAGCATTAGCTTTAGTTAAAGCTTCAGCACATAAGACAGAAGGATAAGGCATCCACTTCAGGAGAGATGCTATTAACATATTTATCAATGTTATGTTGCATGACATTTTATTCAATATAAGCTCACCTGTAATTAAATTTCGATTAATTAAAAATATTAGAAATTATATATTAAAACAAATTATGAATTAATTATTATTAATGTGCACTTACATAGTTGTAGAACATTGGCTAAGTAATATCCAGGACATATCACAATTATTTCGGACATTAATGCCAGTATAATATTTCCTGATAAATTATTATATTTATTTATAATAGTAGATATTGTATCAAGATTTACTACAGGATCGAAGCCATGTTCAAGGAAACATATACAAACAGATGATAATAATGGGAGTAAGGCTATGCAAGTATCTTTGTCATTTTTGGATAATGATACCATTGCAAATCCAAAAATTTTATAATATGTTTCCAAGCAATTATCTGTATCATTTGTACGAAGCCATAATAGAATTTCAATTTGTAATTCTAAAGCGTTACTCGATTTAATTAATTGCCAAGCTTTTTCTTTACAACCATCCGATAAAGATGAAGAAGGATTGCATAAAATAAATATAAAGACCGGCCTTAAAATTTTTATACTGTTTTCCTTTATCCTAAAATAAATAATATATTATATATAACAGTTAAATGTTTATCATATTAATAATTAATATATAGGATATTGCACGCACTGTCTATCAGGATAATTCATTATAAAATGCATTTGATCTAATACAGCTCGCCAAGAATTTTTTTCTTCTTTTAAAATTGAAATAAATGGAAACTGAGGCATTGGCAATTTATATGAACATTTATCTTCGGTAGCATGAAGTTTAAAATCCAATATCAGTAAATGACTCATGCTTACGGTAATTGCGACATAATTGCTAGAAAATATAAAATTATCCTTATAATTTATATATATAGATATTTATATATATGTATATATATATACACATATGTATATATACACATATATATATATATATATATATATATATTTTATATATTGTATATGAACATATAAATTTGTACATACTTTGTAGAAGAAACATAAGATATTAAAGTACAGAGAGCCATAGTAACAGATATTATTCCACTTTCTACAAGTCTAACTAATGCTTGACATATAGATGTACTAAGTACTTTATCTTTGCTTTCAAGTTTTGATATAAGCAGTTTATATTCTGGTATCTACAATAATATACATATTTTTATATTAAATAAGTTAATTTACATTAGATTTTAAATATGTTCTCATAACCTTTATAACATCTTTTGATGTTCCATTTTTGTACTTCTCCTTGATTACTTCATAAAGTCTAGATACCGCCTATGGACAATATATTGTGTGTAAATTATTTATACATGTATTTATGCACATATACTTTCTTAAAGTTCAATATAGTTTTATAAAAATTTTATTTACTTTAATCATTTAATTGAAATACTTACATGTGATATTAAGACAGGATTCTTTGAGGTTAATTTATATTCAATTACATCCATATTTTAACATTGATGTTCTGGAATTTTTATTTTTCTTTCTTTTTTTTAAATATTTTTTAAGTATTTACGCTATTACGTTTTTGATGTTATTTAAAAGTCTTAAAATGCCTATAACCTATATTCTTAAGTAGAACGTCAACGAAAACAAATTGTATCTCATATCACTTTATTGAGAGTTAAACATTTCAATTTTTTAAGTATAAAAACAATCTTTCTTTCAAATTTATCTACACTCTCATCGTTACAAAACTTACCTCGAATATTATTATAATGTTTTTGTTAGGTATTTTTTTCACAATAAAAAACCGATTCGTATAGTGCGCATGCGTCGTACAGATTACGTGAGTCAAAAGCCCGCGCTTGCAATGTGCAAATAACGTTTGGCAATTATACGTCTTAAAGAAATGCAATAAAAAACCATTTATCTAATATCATAATTATTTTGAAATACTTTAACTATAAATTTATCAATGAAGATGTTATATACATTGAAATCTGTTACACCCGGTAATAAAAACATTATTGAGATTTTTTCATATATTTATTTGTATGGACAAGTTGGAGCATAGTGCACAATATATTTAATATATAGTAGTCTGGGAAAGGGAATCAGAGTACATTCTGGAGTTTGAACACAATATCTTACAATTTAACGACAAGATGCCTGCATTTCTGTATTTGCTTCTGTACGTTTTTATGTTATTCGTATATTCATATATTCGAGATGTATAATATATATAAAGCGCGTAACGACTCACTATTTTTATCATTCTAAAAAAAAGGAGACGAGAGGAATACAGGTCCTTTTTGTTAATTGTGTTTCGTGTTGTCTCAGTCCACATATATATATATATATATATATATATATATATATACACATACATATATATATATATATGTATATATATATTTTTTGTTTTTGCTTTAATATTCTTCTTTTTTCTTTGTTTCTCTCTTTTAACTCAACTTCCACTCGATGATTTCTTTTTTAATGTGTAATTATGCTACGTCGTGGCAAATAGTACTCGCTAGATTATATCTTTAGTCCGGAGATTGTCTCCAATTGCTAATTACATTAGTTTTCTATTAGACATTATAGTGGTAAAGGGGGGCGCGGGGGCGAGGACGACCTGTCTGTGCGTGGGCGACCCTGGATACGTCATCGTCGTCATCTTCGTCGTCGTCGTCGTCGTCATAGTGCGATTAAATTTCTATCCCACCTTCCGGTAACGTATATGCGATTGCAAATGCGTTAGGTACATTAAGGCTTTTTATCTGCGAGGGCTGTGTTGTTGTTGTTGTTGTTGTTGTTGTTGTTGTTGTTGTTGTTGTTGTTATTGTTGTTGTCGTCGGGTAAAGTTCACGAAAGGAAACGTTATTATACGATTGGAGACAGCTCCTTTTATCTTCTTCTTCTTCTTCTTCCTCCTTCTTTTCTTCACAATATTCTTTTCTTTTATTTTTTTTTTCTTTTTCTCCCCCCGTTTTCTTCTCTTTCTCTTCCATAATTAGCGATTAACAATCTATATTAAATTTGTTTCAAAGCAAATACATTATACAGCCTATACAATCGGTAAGAACGTAATTTTGTCTTCCTTTTTTTTATTTTTTTTTTATTTTTTTATCTCCGTTTAAAGTCTGGTGAAGAACGTAGGGCAGGGTCCAGGTACTTAGGCTATCTGCACATTTTCATAAAAATGTCCCTTTTTAAGATCACTAAAAGAGACGATATAGAGCGACTCTTTTATGTACTCGGGCCTCTGACTTTTTCGTTCGTTCGTTCGTTCGTTCTTTCTCTCTATCTATCTCTTCTCTCTCTCTCTTCTCTCTCTCTCTCTCTCTCTTTTTCTTTCTCTCTTTTACTCTCTCTTTCTATTTTTATTTTTTTTTTATAAAAATCACAGCACAGCACCAGCATTATTTTAAAGCCCACCCTTTTCTTCTCCATTGAGCACCCCACTAAAACTGAGGCGACTCGTTTACAGTTTTACGTTTCCGCTACGTCTATATCCGCGCGCCTTTCCATTTAGCAAACTGATTTTGTTTTTATTCGTTCGATTAAAAACACTTTCCCTTTTTCTATTCTTTTCATTTCTCTTAGTTTCGTTTCTTTTCTTTTTGATTTAATTTGGCATTTACAACACACTATGCGGTTAGATAAAATTTGTCCGATACCACTGGCAACGGGTGTACTTTTTACCAATCGATCGCGTCGCTCTCTTCATCTTATTCGATGACGATGATAATAAAATAATATAATAATTAATAACTAATAATCATAATAAAAGAGATAATAATAGTCGTTACTAAACTAATATTATGTAGTTTACTTTATATGTATCATAGTATATGTATGTGTAATACATTTTTTACTTTTTTTCTCGTTACCTTAGCATTTCTTATTTCTTTTTTTTTTTTCTTTTTTGTTGTCCATTTCACGACGCTGCACTTCTTTTCTTTTTGTTTTTGTTTTTTTTTATTTTTTATTTTTTATTTTTTTTTGTTAAACTGTAGTACAACGTTGGCTAGCGTTTATTTTTAGTAAACAAATAGCGTTTCTAAGGATCAAATGTACAATCACTTAATGTCATCCTAATTATTTAGAATCATCTTTTTTTTTTTTACCATTTTAAATCTGTTCGTCGCTTTATCTATATACTTCTTAGACAATCGTCTTGTTTACACATATAAATCAATTAAATTTATTTTAATACGTAATAAAATTTTTCTAATAGATAAATTCCAGCGAGTCATACAATTGTTTGCTTTTTTTTTCATTTCTCTCTCTCTCTCTCTCTCTCTCTCACTCACTCATTCACTCACTCATTCTCTTCTCTCTCTCTCTCTCTCTCTCTCTCTCTCTCTCTCTCTTTCTCTTTCTTTCTCTTTATTCTCTACAAAAATCGAAGTTATGCACTTTCGTTCCTTTCATTTTTTTTTTACAGGCTTAAAATTATATATATTCGATCTGACGTATTCAATAATACGCACAAACATGACAAACGCACACATACACACACATACACGGATATTACTATTTATACAATATACATGTATATACTCCACACGCACACAAAATAGTTTCTCCTTTTTTCCTTTTCGTTTAACGCTATCGTTCAGATTCGTACGCAAGTTTCCTATGTAACTACGTTCGATAAAAATTGTATCTTTGTCAAATGCGTACTCAGAGTTCAAAGGTCGTTAAAGTGGGAGGATATACTCGCACACCCACCAACGGATTATTCAAATACATTGTGTTTTTTTAACGCTTTCTCTCTCTCTCTCTCTCTCTCTTTCTCTCTCTCTCTTTACTTCCTTCCCCTGTCTCATCCCTTTTTCTTTTCCTCCCTTTTTTTTTTACGACGATCATGCGAGAACAATTCCGAAAATAAGGATTTTAATAAGTAATCCTTTATAGTCTTTCAGTCTGACGAAATATATTTTTAGATTGTTAATTTTTTCGCATTTTCATTCGTTTCTTATATATATATATATATATCCTCCCTCTTATTATCTCTCTCTATCTCTCTCTATCTCTCTCTCCCTCTCTCCTTTTCACCCTCACTTTTTCTTTTTCTTTTTCTCTCGATTATTAAATTCATTAAAATTTGATTTACTCGACTCACGCTATCGATAGATCTTTCTTGTTTGCGACTTATGCGATCTATGGATCTTTTTCTATTTTCATTGACATCTTTCATCCCTCTTCTTGCAAGAAACGACTTTTCATTTCACGTCGATCGATAAAGCTTATCATCTCCTTTTCAATTGAATGTTTCTTCTTTTTTTTATTCCTAATAGCGTTGACAAAAATCCAATCGTTGAACATTCTCCAACATATTTTTTTTTTTTTAATCACGAGATCCATTAAGATCTATCGACGGAGATAAAGCTTTGTTGGTGCAACATGAATAAAAAATTTGTTATTATGTTATATCTTTCATTCATCGAAAGTTAAACACGCACGCGCGATTTTTTTTATGGAACGTATTATATACTTTCGTGAGTCGAAATGATCGAATCTAATCGAATTTTCCTTCAAACTAACAAGCGCAATTAATAAAACATTCTCGCGTATCATTTATTTATTAATCTGTTAGATAAAAACTTTACTCAGTTCTATGATATATATTTTACATTTATCGCTTACGTATATCGGATACGACGACGATGCTTGTCCGAGAACGAGAGTAATAATATTATGTATATGCTTACATCATTTTATTTACACGTTATTTACAAAGGAAAATGTATCAACCATTTTGGTTCTGCATCGAACCTACGAATATACGTTCGTATTAATGTATGTATGCATTTATGTATGTATGTATGTATGTATGTATGCATTTATGTAGGTACCTATCTATGTACACGAAAAGATCGGTCCACGCGCTTGCATCGAAACTAGAGAGAGAAATAGACAGAAAGAGAGAGAGAGAGAGAGAGAGAGAGAGAGAGAGAGAGAGGGGGGGAGGAGTATGAAAAAGAGAGAGAAGGGGGGTCTACTTTCAATCGTTATGATGGTACTTCGAGATACGATAAACTTCGACGTAAAAATTCATTTCAATGAAAAGAAATGATGCATCAATGACATTATTGAGAAAAACTCGACAAGATTACATTTATTCTTCGTTGAACTCTGACGACCGAGGCTGTACGAGGCGAGGATGATATATTCGAAGATAACCGAAGTTTGTCCAAGGGCTCTTCGTGATTTTAAGTACAATTTTATCAGCCTCATTACGACTGGTCCAAATAAATGTGATTGACAGACAGAGAGAAAAAAGTGAGTGAGAGAGAAAGAGAGAGAGAGAGAGAGAGAGAGAGAGAGAGAGAGAGAGAGAGAGAGAGAGAGAGAAATAGAGAGATATAGATATAGACAGAGAGAGAGAAAGAGACAGAGTCAGAAAGAGGTAAAAAGAGGTATTGAGAGAAAGAGAGGAGAGAGAGAGAGAGAGGAGAGGAGAGAGAGAGAGAGAGAGAGAGAAATGGTGTCAGCAAATAAATTGACTTAAAAGGAAAAGGATGAGGCGATCCTCTCGAAAGTTCCTTAGGGATTTTCCTTAGGGCTGTCTGCTCGCGACGGCACCGCTCGAGGCCGGATGCGGCGCGTGGTGAGTTTGTGCGGAGCTGCTTCCGGCGGTTCCGCCGGTTCCACCGGCTAGTACGGGACCGGGGGCCGCGGGTCACTTGGGCGGAAATGGCGAGATCACCGAGGCGGCTACCGCGGCGGCCTGCTGACTCGCTAGCACTGCCGCTGCAACACACAGAGACAGACAGCAGGCCATTAATTTTTCGCCACGAAGAAATTCTTTTTAAACCCTATTCTATTATTTTCTATTACCCTCCCAGCTTTCTTTATCAAGATTCTCAATTCTTCCAAACTTTTGATCGATGATCAATGTATTTTTATTACATAGAAATGTATAGAAATGTATTGTTTTTATATATAGCGAAAAGAAATCTAATTTTACAATTTAATTTTATTCATAGGAATTTTTATTAATAACAATAAATTGTAGTCTGTGATTTTCAAAAAATAATTTCGGATAATTTCTTTGCAAGATCGATATGTGTCTTATCGAAGAACATTCGTGATTCTTCGTTGGTGATTCTTGCCAGTCCAGCCCAAGAATTCTCAGCGTTTAGTCGAGAGAGTTAGAAAATTTTTCACATCCTATTTTTTGTTTGATATTATTACGTTAGAAGAATAATGATAGTTGGAAAAATAATGACGCCTTGAAAATATAAAAAGTTTTTTCACAGTTTTTAATACGGAATGTCAAATTACCCAAAGAGGATAATCGATCGAACTATTTTCGAATTTTAAGTGATTATTATTTTACGAGAAAAAGAGATGGACACAGAATTTCTTTATGGGCCCGCATATGTGTGTGTGTGTGTGTGTGTGTATTGAGAGAAAGAGCAAGAGAAAGATGGAAAGAGAGAGCTGGGGAGGTGGAGGAGAGAGCGAAAAAGCATTTCTTTTTTTTTGCTTATCTTTGGAGACTTCGCACAAATCTTTACATTGTTTCAATATATTTTATTCGTATTTTTTTGTTTAAGTCTTCTCTCTTTCTACTTTTCTTTCTCTTTCTCTCTCTCTCTCTCTCTTTCTCTCTTTCTGGCAGTGGAAAGCTGTATTAAAATACACTTGGTCGATTAAGTTTGTCGTTTGCATTGTGTATATCGCGAAACGCGAAGCGTAGTCTGTTTTCTTTTTTTTTTGGGGGGGATTTTTGTTTCTTTTCTCTTTTTTTTTCCATTTTTCTTGTTTTCTATTTCAATGAAACTAAATAGACGTTTATTACTTCGCTTAATCGTTGGAGCGTCAATATGATCATCGAAAAAATGTTGTTACTAAATGCCATTTTACATTATTTCAATAATGCACGTCGAAAAAGATATCGAAAGTAGCGCAACGCAACGAATCACGTAATTGTTTTATCTTTTTATATCTATGATGATTTTTGAGTTATTGAAAATAGAAAATGATGACGATTGGGAAAACGAATTACAATATGGTTCACACGAGGAGAATCTATAAGTTCATCATTAATTAACATGAATTTTTATTATTATTTTTTTTCTTTTTCTTTTCCTTTTGTTTAATCTTAACACTTTACCGCCGACCGATAGCCTATTAATCGGCTTTTTGTTGCCCATGCTTACCGACCAATAGCCTATTAATCGCTTTTTTCTCGGGGCTACCTAAAAATAGCCTATCAATTGGTAGTCATGGCGATAAACTATTGCCATTTGCTATATCATCTGCATTATATTATTAGTATTGAGGTACATTGCTCATTTGCGTTAAGTGCGTTGCTTCGTAAACTCCCACATTTTCACATCGTTTTTAAAAAATTTACCGTTCGCAATGAGCGAAAAAAATGCTACTGGAGAGTTTTATTTAGACGATTTATCAGATTGTCCTGACAGTTATTCAGGAAGTGATAGTGGTGACGAAAGTGATGGCAGCGATATAATAATTCGAAATTGGAGTTCTGTATTGCCACTAACAAGTAGTGATTCAGAAGACGACGAGATAAGTGACATCGAAGACGATACAAATAACATTGAAGATGACGATGATATATGGTCGACAGAAGATGAAGCAATAATTTTGGAACCTTTTGAAGGTAGTCCTGGCATAAAAATTATGCCTAGTTCTACAGAAAATGTGATGGACAGCGTCAATTTATTTATTGGAATGGACTTTTTCGAGCACTTAGTGAAGGAATCCAACAGATATCATTACCAGATCAGGGAAAAATATAAAATTCCATCAAAAGCGAAAAAGTCGACAGATATAATGGTAACGGAAATGAAAAAATTTGTAGGACTAATAGTCTTAATGGATCAGGTAAAAAAAAGACTTGTTCTACGTATATTGGTCCACAGATCGAAGTATAGAAACTCCATTCTTTTCGGAAGTCATGAGCAGAAATAGATTTGTGCAAATAATGTAGAGCTGGCATTTTTGCAATAACGATAACATTCCTCACAATGCACAATATAAGCTTGCTAAAATCCAGCCTGTTGTTGACTATTTACAGCGAAAATTTAACGATGTATATAAGCCAATCAACAATTATCTTTGGATGAATGCCTAATTCCGTGGAGAGGTCGGCTATCCATTAAAACATACAATCCGGCAAAAATTACTAAATACGGAATACTTGTAAGAATGCTGTGTGAAGCTGTCACAGGATACATATCCAATTTTCACGTGTATGCTACTGATGGCAAAAAATTGGAAGATACGGTTTTAACGATTATTGAACCATATAAAACCATATGGCACCACATTTATCAAGATAATTATTATAACAGCATCAAAATGGCTAAAATTCTACTGCGAAATAAAATGCCAGTGTGCGGAACCATTCGAAAAAATAGAGGTCTTCCTCCATCACTACAAACATTACGATTTTCAAGAAGTCAGCATGAATTCCGTAGGAATCGTCAAATTTTGTTAGAAGTATGGAATAATGGCAGAAGAAATGTAAATATGATATCTACTATACATTCTGCACAATTGAAGGAATCCACAAGCAGAAATAAAAGATCAAATGTCCCAATACAAAAGCCTAATTCCATCATAGATTACAACAGATATATGAAGGGAGTAGATCGCGCGGACCAATATCTAGCATACTATTCCATTTTCAGGAAAACAAAAAAATGGACTAAACGTGTGGTAATGTTTTTTATAAACTGTGCGCTTTTTAATTCATTTAAAGCATAAACAGTTTTAAACGGAAAAACTATTACGTACAAAAATTTCCTGCACAAGATTGCACTTTCGTGGATAGAAGATAATGAAATTAATTGTATGAAACAAGATGACGATATATCCAGTTCTGCACCCACAAGGAGAGCACCCAAATTAGACAATCCCGGAAGACTCTCGAATTTCGGAAAACATAAACTTATAAATATAGTAACTAGCGATCGAAGTGTGAGGGACCCCAAAGACAATGTAGAGTTTGTGCTGTTCAAAAAAAAAAGAAGTAGAACATGTTTTGTTTGAAAATTTTGCTATGTTCCATTACATAAAGGTAGCTGTTTTGAACGGTATTATACCTTGAAAAAATATTAATTATTTCTTATTTCAAGTATGTCAATATATGGATTATGGTATTGTTACATAATTATTAAACTGAAAGCTATTGTAATAGATAAAATAAATGTAATTTATCATTAATATCTTGAAAATAAAATATTTTATTAAATCTAATTATCCTATAATATATCCTATAATAACAGAAAGCGGACAATTCTGTCTGAGCATACAAAACGCACAGATACTCTCGGTGCGATAATCTAGACTGAAAAACAGCCGTCGTCAGGGAGAATCTGCGGCTGAGCGGCCGGTCGGACGTGCGTATGCTGTTGAACCGCTAGCGATCGGTAAAGTGTTAAGATCATGATCACGCTGCGTAGGCGCTTAAACGATTTAGAAAGGAAATTTATATTAATTAAGATCGTATAGCGAGATAATTACAATTAACTTTTATCATCTCTCTCTCTCTCTCTCTCTCTCTCTCTTTCTCCCTCTCTCTCCCTTTCTCTCTCTCTCTCTCTATGTATTTATATCCTTTCTATCTTAAACAACAGCTTTCACGAGGAAGTCGACCGTCGTTCCCATTTTCTATTGTTCGTAGATCATAAAAGCTTTACAACTTCCGATGTAAGTGCGTAACTCCTATCGTAGAATTTCGTACAATGAATTTTAATAATGTATCCGTTAGCGCTAGACGTAGAATATGCTTCTTCTGGAAGACTACAGAGTCTAACGAAATTTGTATGTATATCGTATATACATATATTTACATGTATATATATTTATATATATTTATATGTATATATTTATATATATATATATAACACATTTCGTTCGAAAAATTAAGGACTATATTTGCTCCTTCGCTCGCTGTTCATTTATATCGTCCTTTTCCTACAATTAATATTATTATTATTATTATTATTATTATTATTATTATTATTATTATTATTATTATTATTATGTTATATTACTATTACTATTATTATTATTATTATTATTATTATTATTATTAATATTAATATTATTATTCATTATCATTAATATTATCATTAATATTATTATCATTATTATTACTATTATTATTATTATTCTTATTATTATTACTATTATTATTATTATTATTATTATTATTATTATTATTATTATTATTATTATTAATATTATAATTATTATTATTATTATTATGACAATTACTATGATTATATACGAGCTTTAAGTGGTTTGTTATTTTTCATCTGGTTTTCGGAAAGTAGCACGATAAATAGTTATCACAGTCTGAACTATATACCTAATCCCTACGCACCCTATGACGGTACACGGCTTATATATGTTTCATTCTTATAACGGCCGCACTTATACTCCAATATTTTCAAAATATTCAGTCCGTTAACTATGCAATATTATTGTATGTATGTATGTATGTATGTATATATGGATGTATGTACTTTGTCGTATATTTAAAAAAGAGAAAAAAATGAGAAAGAAAAAAAAGAAGATAGGGAGAAAAACAAGAAAAGGAAGAAAAAGAAAGAAAAAAAATCGTCAGAGATGCATTAATGATGATAATAATGATGATGATGATGATGATGATGATGATGATGATGATGATGATGTTGATAATAATGCTGATGACCACACGCACGTTCAGGATCGTCGCCATTTTCATCGAAGGAATCTATTACATATATTCGTTTATAGCTTTGCTAAGAAGTGTTCAAAATGTGTCATCAATGTCCCTCCTTTTTTCTTTTTTTTTTTTTTTTTTCTTTTTTTGGCCCTTTTCTTATTTCATCCTTTCTTTCTTTTCTTCTTCTCTATCCTTTTTCTTTTTGTTTTCTTTAGAAAAAATTGTTTTTCTCTTATCGATTTTTCGTAATAAAATAATAATAGGTCGGCAAAGGCTATCCAATAATATACGCGAATGTTTGTTTCATCTCTCTCGTAAGGAGAAGAAAGCTCTGGTTGTTTATCTTTTATCATTTTTCGTGCATTCCTCGTCGTTCTCCTATAGTTTATCTCATTTTATTATTTTATCTTGATTCGCTTGATTCATTTCCATTTTATTTTACTTTATTTTACTTTATTTTACTTTATTTTACTTTATTTTACTTTACTTTACTTTATTTTAGTTTATTTCATTTTAGTTTATTTTCTTTCTTTTTGTGTTTTTTTTTTCCTTTTTTTTTTTCAAGCACCAATATGGTGTACACGGTTTACGCGCTCGGAGCATGCGGCGGACGCTCTGCCGAAAGAGATTATTCTTTACCCACTTCTCCGTCTATAGCGCGTTTCGTCGTTTCTACCATGAAATAGATATACGATACGATTTTAACACTGTCGGTCAAAGAAAATTGTTCATTCCGTCGAAGCGCAGGATATATATACACGCGCGAGACATGCAACGCGACGAACAGTAACGTAAACTCGCATATAACTTTTTACCGGCCTTCAGTGATCCCTTTTTTCTGATCGTTTGTTTTAGTTGTATGTTTGTTTTTTAATATGTATATATGTACACACATATATATATATATATATATATATATACATACATAAGGCAAGTCGAAAACAGATTACAAAGTAATTACAAGATTACAAAGTTTTTACTCTTTGGAATAAATTATATTTTTATTCCGTTTATCGAATTTAATCGTTGATGTTATCGAGATATATAGAGTTTTGTCTTTTGTGTCTGTTAATAACACGACTTGCCACGATACCTGAATAAGGAGAAAACGATATAGAGCACAGTATTCGATCAGATTTGGACAATTTGTTCTCTTATTTATCGCGAACCTAAATGATTCGAGAGCAGCACGTTTGCTTCTCGTTCGGAGAAGTGCGTAACGCTGTTTTGATCGAGTTTCAACGATCAAGTAAAGAGAGACACGGTCTCCTAGTAACATACAATAGAAGACTCGTTGGTCCAATCTGAGTTGGAGTTCGTTATCCGTTCTTTTAATTATCCCGCGGATCGCCGGAAGCCTTACTGTCAGGGTCTGACGAGAGGCTTACCTCCGTAAGGAGCGGGGTATTGTCCCGTTAAAAGGGGATAGCCTAATCCCACATGCGTGTGATGATGCGTATGCACGTGTCTCTGAGGTGGTGGAGATCTGCTGTCCTTTCCAAGATTCCCGCTACCGGTATCGACCGGGCCAGATTGTTGCTGCTGACCGCCAGGTTGTCCTTGTTGTTTTCCAGGCTGTTGACCTTGACCCTGCGGTGGACCTGGCCCCGCTACCGAAGTCGGTGGTCCGCTAGGTGGTCTGGCAGGTGTTGGCCCTGCCGAAGACGGACTGGCAGATGCCGCGGACGTCTTTGGCGTCGGCGACTTCAGAGCACGTTCCTGCAGTTCATGGATCTTGTGTGCCGAATAATACTGATTCGCGTGGTGCTGCAAAAGATCGAGGGCCTTGCCACCCGGTGGACGGCTTAGATCCTCCGGTGCATGATACCTAGGCAACTGATGCAGGTAAGGACTACCCGAGTAAGGTCCAGGTACCAACATAGGACTTAAACCTCTGTAAACTGGATGGCCAGGGTCGAAGGGTAGCGCACCGTAATGCTGTGGTTGCATATATCCCGGATGTATATACGCGTATTGCGATGTTGGCGGTGGCGGTGGTCCCTGAGTCTCCATTGTAGGCTTCACGCCTTCTTGCTTGTTTTTCGAGTCGTCGCTCTTGCCCAAATCCTGAGGCTTTTCTTGCTTCGGTTGATGCTTCGGACTCGGGGGTGGAGCTTTCGCTTGTTGACTTTGTTTGTTCGACTCTTCTTTTCGCCTTTGCTCTCCGGGATAAAGGTAATACCTCCTGTCATCTTGTACAGGACCAGGAGGTGGTGGAGGAGGTGCTGCTCTTTGACTTTGCGTCCCGTGGTACACGTGATAAGGACTCATTTGACTCTTCATCTCGATACTTTCCTTTAGTATCTGATGGTTTTCGTGTTGTTTGTCTTTCAAACTCGGTTGTTGCGATTGTGGTTCCTGCTTCATCTTTGCCTTTTGCTCATGCGCCTCTTGTTCCTGCACTTGTTGATTCTGTTGTTGTTGCTGTTGTTGTTGGGAAATTGCTTGCGGTGGCTGATACGGATAGCCAGGAGGCATGTAGCCACCGTAACCACCGTAATAGTGCGGCTGCTGTTGAGGTTGAGGCAAGGGTTGACTCAATTCCTTCTTTTCCTTCTCCGAGACGACGCTTTGCAAACTTGCCATCGATGGCATCTGCGGTATGTTCAAAGGTTTCATTTCCTGTTTTGGCGTGAGATCGCTCGGTTTCTGATCGACCGACTTGCTGTCCTGAACGCTAGGCACCAAGTAAGGAGGTTGACCGTAATACGGGTACATTCCAAAGTGAGCAGGTAGATGCGTCGGCGCGCTAGTCTTGTTGTCCTTTTCTTGATTTTGTTTCGACTTGTCGGCGGGTTCTGCTTCGAGAACAGGCGCCGCGTCGTCTGATATGTCCGAATAGGCCGGACTTTGGACATCTTCCCTCGCGGAATCGACTATCGGCGTTTCCAAAGGCGAAGGATGCGGACTTCCACCGGGTGATTTTTTCGATTTCTTTTTGTAACCTTGCGGCTTCGGCGTTCGCGGGTCCTTACTCTTATCCTGCTCTGGCATCAATGCCGCCGTAGGCTTTACTTTGAATTGCGGCATCTTCGTGTGCAGCGAAACGCTTGGATACTGTTGCATGTGAGATTGTACACCTTGTCCAGGATGTCCAGTCGTCGGAGGCCCGGTTTGTAGACCCGTTTGTTGTGAAACTTGTCCGGTAAGACCTTGAAGACCTGGATGCTGACTCGCCATACTTTGCAAACTTTGTTGTTGCTGCTGTAAGGTTGGCTGCTGAATAACATGCGCTTGAGTTGGTTGTCCCAACTGCGTGGACAAGGGATGCTGTACGGATTGCAACTGATGTGCCGGCGGCAATTGTTGCTGTACGGACGATTGTAACTGTTGTTGTTGCTGTTGACTCGATTGCAGTTGAGGCGGTGGTCCAGTTTGTAACGTCTGTTGGGCTTGTTGCAACAACGGATTTTGTTGCTGATGTTGTTGAACTTGAGAAGGTTGAGGAGGTTGAGGTATATTGAGTGGCTGCGGTATGTTTGTACTGGGATGTGGCGAAGGCACAGGCCTGGGAGATTGACTTGGGTGAGGACTCGGACTTTGAGGTGGATTCGTCGATGTTATCGACGGTTGACTTTGTTGTTGCTGTTGTTGTTGTTGTTGCTGTTGTTGCTGTTGCTGTTGTTGCTGCTGTTGTTGTTGCTGTTGTTGTTGCTGCTGTTGTTGTTGTTGGATACTTTGTTGTCTCGAGGAAGGCGGTGCCGCGGACGTAGGAGCAGGTAAATCGTCTTGGCCGAACCTTAAAACGCCAGGTTTAACGATAGCCTTGTCCGAGGTTAAAACTGGCATAGGTGTCTCTATACTAGGAGAAGGTACCCGAGGTGGAGGCGGTGGTGTCTCTGGCGGTAAACTCGTCGCCGGTGGACTCGCCGCTCTGACAGGGGTTCCTTCCGGCTTGTCCGCTGGAGACTTCACCGGCGTGGCTGGACTCGGAGCTTCTATGTTGCTCTCATCGTTCTCGGACATGCTAGTGATGCCCTCCTTTGTATCGTCGTCGTCCGCGGAACCGTGCGCGTGACTCTGATGATACTTCAGTCCATTTATGTGTTTGTACTTTTTACTACAATTCGGTTCGGGACACTCCAAAAGGACCGGGCTCGCCGGAGGCGAACCACTAGGAGGCGTAGGAGGTGGTGCCCGTCTTTTATTCTTCTCCTCTTCTTCTGGACCACGAGATTTTCTCTTAGCAGCTGGATCCGATCTCGGCGGCACAAAGGCAGCCGGACTTGGACTCGCCGCCGGTGAACCCTGAGCACCTCTTCGACCTTTTGCACCGCCATTTCGTAATTTACTGTGCACCGAACTCCTTGTCTCGGTGAAATTACTGAGATCGTTGCCCGGTGTAGAATTTGCTGCTGCCGGCCACGTTTTCCACGACCTTTAGGTGTACGTGCGTCCAAATCGCTTGTCGGTGAATCGCAAAACCTTGGAGGTGCCCAATCGTGTCGTGTACAATCCAATAGAGTACCGACGTATGTCTTACCCCGCCACGTTACGTTCACGACCAATACACCTGCAACATAGAGAGTACGTCCCAAATAGTAACGATCGGTAAAGATTCTATTTTAAAGAATATTAATTCTTCCATTTTCTTATAGTAAAATTACAACGAATAAAATCTATTACTTATGTGTGCTTTAATTAACGATTAAATCTAAATGGATTAGCAATAATATATGGAGTTATCCGCAATGATCGCCGCTATTAAATGATCGAGCTCTTATTACTAGTTTGTAAGGCTAAATACGATATGACGTAGCAGTTTATCTGAACGACGCGAGAAGAAGAACGAGAGACGCCTAATCTTACTCGATGCTGGAAAAACCGGTTCTAAAAGACAGCTTGCTTCTAATATCGACAAATTCCACGAGATCTTTACGTATCGGATAATAAATTTCGTTGCGAGAGTTATATACGTCTCTTTAGTTTTAACTCAACCATCTACTGTCCTTGCAAGACTATATTTAATTGAAAGTATGCATGCGATCTTGGTACCTGTCGACCAAGGATTAGCTTGAAACGAGGATTAATATACCAGAGGACCTGACAACTAATCGATGTCTGGATGTTTTTTTTTAAAGAAGATGTGAAAGTTGTCTAGAATTCCATTCATATTACATCATTATAAATTCGATTTCTATTCAATCAATTAATTAAAAGTAACTAAACGTTAATATTGAATTTTGTACACCTTAAATAAACAAGTTATTTAAATAATTGAAATTTCAGAATGAAATACCAATTATTACTATCTCTATCCATTCACAAAAATGTAATAATACTTTTATTCGATTTACGAAAGATTAAACGATTTAGGGGAAAAAAAGAAAAAAGAAAAATATTGTTATATCTATATATATCTATATATATATATATATATAGATATATCGAATGCATTTGAAAATCTATAAACATGAGAACTCTTTTATGGTTTTCGTCGTTTTGCATCAGATATCACAAAGGGAAATACATAGTCTAGTTTTTCCCTGGCACGGCTCTAATCCCGAATCGTTTTCGAAAGAAACCCCGAGGCGCTTTTGCTTGATTGAGTCGTTCCCCTCGAGTCGTCTACGTCACTCCCATTTACTGTGAGAAAGATAAACGTATAGCACCGAGTACCGAGAGAAAGAGGAAGGAGAGTGAGAACAGGAGGAGAAGGTGGAGAAAGAGAAAGAGGGAATGATGAAACCGTCCATCCAACCCTCGTCACGCGTCTTTTCAACCTTTCCAATTCTCTCATCTGATTCTCCTCCCTCATCCTCTCTTTGTTTCCTCTCTCCCTCTTCGTGTCAGCTAGTAGCACCTAAGTGACTAAATGCATCTCCATCTACGAGAACGAAAATGGCAAAAACTATTGCGTGACGATGATGTACTACGTAAATGACATCAATATTGTCTTGTCAACTTCTTTTCGTATTATTGAGATAAAGAAAAAAGGAAAGAAGAAAAAAAAAAATAAATATATATATATATAAAACAAAATCACGAGTAGGTTAAAAAGAAAGGGAAGAAGAAAGAAAGAAAGAAAGAAAAAAAGAAAAACCATGTTCGAATACCTTTTCATGTAAGACAAGCGATGCTCGAGTTAAATCGAGGTGAATCGATTAAAGGGGTTAATGGAAGCCCCAACAAAAAAAAAAAAAGAAAGAGAAAGAACATCTCTCCTCTTACCCCAGTATATATCGTGTTATACTAAACTTTCAAAACCACGATAAATCTTTCCACATTGACACTTTTTCGTACTTCTATTAAACTTATTCATTCTTATCGTATAATCCCCGATAGTAGATCGAAATGTACGGTAACGAAAGATGTCAGAAATATTATATAAAATGTATGTATATATGTACATATATATATATATATATATATATATATATATATATATACACATATATATAGGTCGATTGTTTGGTTACACTTTGGGGTGAACAAATCTTGGCGTACGATGTTGGAATGAAGTAAGAGTTTTGCCGAATAAGAATATACGCCGTGTGTGTGTGTGTGTTTATATATGTACGTGTGTATGTGTATTTGTAGGTATATGCGTAGGTGTTAGTGATGGTACATCCTCGCTTTGCTGGTAATATCAGAAAAAGTGAGGGCGAGGGATCGAGCGAGGAGGACGTAATGGAAGAAGGATGGAGGAGGATTGAAGAAAGAAAAAGAAAAAGGACGAAAGGTTTTTTAAAGAAGGAGAAGAACGAGGTGAGAGATACACAGAGAGAGAGAGAGAGAGAGAGAGAGAGAGAGAGAGAGAGAGAGAGAGAGAGAGAGAAAGGGAGGAGAAGAAGCAAAAGAAAAGAGATGGAAAAAGAGGAACTTGGAAGAAAGAAAAAGAAAGAAAGAGAGGACTAATGGTGTTCGGAGAGAGCTGAGGTGAGATAGAAAAAGATGAACGTATAAAAAGAAAGAAAAGAGAACGAAGAGAGACGAAGAAGTTCGCGATAAAAAGGAATAAAGAAAGAAAAGGAAGGAAGGAAGGAAGGAAGGAAGGAAGGTAGGAAGATGGAGCGTAGGGTGAAATCGTTCGCGGAATAAGGACAGACGATGAGAATACGAACGAGGGGAGAGAATACGGACGAGGATACGTACGGGACTCAAGAGCTCGATTCAAAGGGGGCTTGCTTCCAATAAAGAGAGCCGGGGCTATGCAGTTATATAGAACTTTACGTCCTCCCGGTACAATCCCACGCGAAAATTCCCAACGGCTGGTGTATTTCTCCTAGGAGTAAAGTAAGAAGAAAGAAGAACACATTCAACGTATGTCTACAGTTATAAAAAAGAAACATATATATATATATATATATATATATATATATATATATATATTTCCTGTTTTAGAGAGAAAGAGAGAGAGATACGCTTGAGTGATATCGACGAGGTATGTATGTATGTATGTACGTGTCACGAGGCCGTTATCGGAGGTGTGGTCGATGTTAAGATCATACGGTCGGCTTCTAATCCTAATTAACGCGTTTATCGACAAGGGCACTCGGGCTAAGGTATAGTCCATGTAGAAAACTCGTTTAATTACGTAAAAGAGAAAGAGAAAGAAGAGTAGGAAGAAGATGAAGAATAAGAAGATGAAGAAAAATTGGATCATTTTATTGAAAGCACGTTCCATTTTCACTTAATTAACATATCAATGGAATATGCGAACTCTCCTAAATAAAGCTATAATACAAGCTAATAATATTCATAAACTATGTATATATATATATGTATATATATATATATATGTATGTATGTATGTATATATATATGTATGTATGTATATATGTATGTATGTATACGTACGTTTATAAGTACGTAGCTATCTATTAAATGTAAGAACCTCATTTCCATTATACCGACTTCGAATAATATATACCGTATGATTACAAACGTGTTTGCTTCGTGTCAATCTAGAACCATCGAGAAGTAATTGATATGAATTATCGATCATATCCGGACACCGATATAGATTATTTTTTAGACTTTATTGAACGACGATGAAAAAAGAAAGAGAGAAAGAGAGAGACGAGAAACGGTTTTAGGCTATTACCAATTCACTTTTACAGGAATTCGCGGTGACAGGATGGAAAACGCCTACGATATTCGATTACTTTCGAATTCATGACATTCGTATAACGTTTATATCGTCATTTTTAGAGAACGCTACAATATTATGTCGAAGTTATACGCTACATGTATTATCGTCGAAAATATACTTTTTTTTTTCTTTCTTTCTTTCTTTTTTTTTCTTTATTTCTTCTTTTTTTTATTTATTTTTCTTTTTTTCCTTTTTACATGGAACACGGCGTAGGACGATAAAGCAATAATATAATCGTCGAATATTTCCTCTCCTCTTGTCCTTTTTCTTTCTTTCTTTTTTTTTCTTTTTTTTTTTTCTTTTTTTTTTTCAATGGATTAAAGACAGTTCGAGGAGTCGATCGATAAGCGGCAAGAGGGTTGCGGAGGGAGGTTGAAAGGTCATACGGATTTGATACCGTTTCTTGTTCAATCGTCGTGACTTTTTACGGATATTCCAAAAATAAATCAAGTCTCATTGCTACGAGAAAAAGAGAGAGAAATAAAAACATAGTCATTCAGGCATAGCTTTTGTCCTCGATTGAAAACTATGTTAACTCGTTGTGAACGAAAGACCGAATTTTTACGAACGATCGATCGATCGATCGAACATAGGAACTAAATCGAGATATAGCTTGAATTCGACTTCGATTATAAATCTTTTCATATTCTATGAAAAGGAAAGATATAAAGACAATTCTTTCTCAATTCTCCATCCACATTTCATCAATATTCGATTATTAACCTTATTTCTCCTCTTACTCTTCCGAAAAAAAGATGGAATCTTTCAATAACGCGTTTCCTTGATTAAGATTAAATTATTAAATCTTTTATTATTAAATTTCTTATTAATATTTTTAAATGATCAATATATCAAAATATCAATAAGTAATATAAACTTGACAAATAATTATTTACATCGATTAAAATATTCCATATATACCGATCATATATATATACATATATATATATATATATAGCGATATAAATAGTAATATATTATTAATTAATAATTAGTTTCATATGAAATATATAATTACGATATACAAAGTAAAGAAAATCGTCGAAATTAGATCTGATTTTTTAATATATTTTTCTAATATATTTTTCTAATGTAAATTCGTGTAAAGTCAACAAGAAAGACTGGTTAGATATGTTTCAATTAACATTTTATAAGAGATCGAGACAAATTTTTGATATATCGCAAAAGAAAAATAGAATACGTTTTCATTGACTAGAAAGTGAAGGGGGGCGAGCGGCAGCGGCGGCGAAAAGAAAAGGGTTCCTAACTATCCGTGATAATATCGAGCACGAACTACGATATCTCACAATTATTGGCCGAGCTGTGGCCCGTAGAAAATTTACTGTCGCGATAGTAAAGCATATACTCGTTGATAAGATGTAATAACAGTATTTACTCTTACTGCCGCGAAGGCGGTC